GGTGAGAGAGAGGCAGCGGCGATCGTCCACCAGAGAGAGGCGTCTTGTGGTCCAGTGATTGCGTTATGAGTGCTTCGGTGTGTAAGACTTCTTTTAGACAGATGGATAATGCAAATGCTCTGAAACCTGTGGACGAACTTTTCCCGTCTCGTTACTCCGTCGCGTGGAACCAGGTCAAACGCGCGCGTGCGGACGTAGTTCCTTCCGACTGGACTGCCACTAAGTCCTATCACGATGCAGAAGTTCATCGTTCTGCAGTAGGTATCGAAACGCTTGGACATGACCCGGGTAGAACCATCCACAGCTGGCGGTAGACAGATTTGCAGGCCTCTTGGGGTGAGATACGGCGCATGATGGTTCTCGATGCCCATGGCGGACTCTGCAGCTGACCAGTTACTGATCATCGCATAAGACCAGATATTTGGGTCCTCCACGAAGAAATCGCTTGGATCCTCCGCCAGTGGCGGTGCCCGTTCCGAGTCTGGCCCGAGTGAAACGACAGTATCGCTACGAAGCGAGCCGTACTCCTTGAGCCTCGAAGTAAGTTGAATCGCAAGGTTTGGAAGTAGGAGAGAGTAGTCCTCTCTCTCCTTCAACATGGCTTCTTGCAATCGAATGAAAGCGCGCTTGCCCTCTCCGTACAGCAAGGGCATGTTAACGTCCATGATACCGAGCAACGAATACGCCACATCTTCCGTACGAGTCGTTTGTCTTGAGGCGGCCCAGGATAAGCGCTCTGCTGCGCAACGTCTGTGGATAGACTTGTGCCCTTCCAGCACGTCAATGTCGATTTTTGTGATATCCGCGATGCGCGCCGCAAGCGACGATTTGGTGCCAATCTCGCTCCAGTCTGCGGCGTAGAATTCGACCACGTCAGGAGCAAGGAGTTCCTGGAGCGTCCAGCCTCGAGTGAACCACCGGCAATTCCTGAAGAGTCCTGCGGGGTCGAAGTCGTCTTCGTTCCAGATGTCAACAACTTCGTCAGCTCTGGTTATGTCGGCCAGATACGCATAACATATTGCAGACCCCCTGTACCAGCGGAACATTGAGTTGATGGACTCGGAGAGCTCCGCGCTACTAGTTTTGTCGATGCTGTACTCGTTGTGTCAGCGCGATGAGTTGTTGGTGAGAGGTTGGAGTTCTACCAGCATGTGTCGGCCCATGCCCAAGAGAATCCGTCATTCTTCGCCTTCGCGCAGGTTGACTTGATCTTCTCAAAACCATGTTTAGATTCGATGGTACTTCTGTTTCGTAAGCTGGTTTCGCCATTGCTCAGCGCCGTCATCTCCTGGAATGTGACTTCATCCTCGCCCCATGTATGTGAAAGTGTCACATATGGGTCTGGTGGTAGATCATGGAATTCAACAAGTTTGAGCGTTTCCGTGTCAATTACTCTCATTTGGATCGCAACTGAATTCGCACTAGGATTTGCAGAATGAGCGACATTGACGATTTGGTGGTTGAAGGAGACAACAATGAAGCTGCGCCGCTACCTTGCCAGGGGCAGGACTAAGCACATGATCGCTTTCTCATAGTTTCATCCACCATTTTCCCTCAGTAATTGCAAGATCGTATGGGCGACGAAGATTTAAACCAACATCAACATTATCTTTAAGATTTAACTTGAGAATTGGGAGGTGAACCGTCCTCTCAAAGGTCGTGAGCAGAGGTGAGATTAGGTAAGTCGGCTCCGAAGCGCCGCACAGTCAATGCACTATGCGGGCACAGTCCGTGTTCCACTTTAAAATTTCCAAGTCAATTGCAGCTGCGACAAAGACGCAGGCCACTTTCGTCTGCAATCTGCACCCTCAACCATGGATATCCTCAAAGTGCTGTCGCGCGGCATCAAGCAGCCCTCCAAGGGCGCCAAACCCGCGAACAATGCGACGGCGAACCTGCCATCTGCCGGCAACCGAGCGAACCCTCAGCTTTTCCACGACGAAGTCCCCTCCGGGCGGGGCCACAAGAGGAAGCGCACCAAGGACGAGGTCGAGGAGAAGGAAGAGGAGCTGCTGCCCGAGGTCGACTTCTTTGCTCCCAAGCCCGACCATTCGAAGCAGGCCGCCGAGGCAAAGGAGACCTCTTCTCAGGAGACGGACAAGGCGGAAGCGCCTAAGGTCAAGCCGAAGCTCCTCCCCGAAGACGAGTGCCGCCAGATCCTCCGCTCCCACCGATTGAAGCTCACCCTCCTCTCCGAGCGCCACAAGAACCAATCCAAGGTCACCAAGAGCACGAAGAAAAAGAAGAAGGTTGCCGTCGAGGTCGAGAAGGAGACGAACCAGCTGCACCCGCAACCGCTGACCTCGTTCCGCGAGCTGAGAACCAACTTCAACATCTCATCTCTGCTGGCGGACAACCTGGCGCACCAGGGCTACAAGGTTCCCACTGAGGTGCAGCTGGGCAGTCTGCCACTACTTCTGCAGCCTGAGCTGGCGCTGAAGAAGGTCCCGAATAAGGAGGAGTTGGGCGATGTGTCGCACGGAGTCGACTTCTTGGCTGTCGCGCCGACGGGTAGCGGAAAGACGATCAGCTTCTTGATCCCGGCGATCAACTCGATCACGCAGAAGAGGGCGTCTGCCGGCGGAGAGCAGGATGACCGCGAGCTTTCTGCGATCGTTGTTGCGCCGACGCGAGAGCTTGTTTTCCAAATCGTTAACGAGGGGCGCAAGCTTGCTCAAGGCTCTGGCATCAAGGTGGTGGGCATGAAGAAGGGCATGCGGATAGCTTCCGAGGAGGACGAGATCTCTGAGAGCGAGGACGATGAGTCGCAGGATGAGGGCTCCGGAGACGACGATGAGGACAGTGAGACGGAGCCTGCCAGCTCCAAGCATGTCACAAAGGCAGACATTCTCGTTACCACGCCTACACTGCTAGTCAACTTCCTCTCGTCGGGATCGTCAAAGACCCAGCGTGTGCTACCGACAGTCAAGTCGCTGATCCTCGACGAGGCGGATGTCCTCCTGGACCCACTCTTCCGTGAGCAGACCATGACCATCTGGACCGCTTGCTCAAACCCCGACTTGAAGATTACCTTCTGGTCAGCAACCTTCGGATCCAATATCGAGACTCTTGTCAAGGAGATGCAGGCCGAGAGAGCATCAAACAGACCCTTGCTTCGTCTCGTGGTTGGATTGAAGGACACTGCGGTTCCCAACGTAACGCACAAGCTGGTCTACACCGCAACAGAGAAGGGAAAGCTCCTCGGCCTCCGCCAGCTCCTTCACCCAACAGCAGGCGACGACTCCGGCCCGCCTCTCCGGCCACCATTCCTCGTCTTTACTCAAACCATCGAGCGTGCTACCGCCCTCGCAGAGGAACTCAAATACGACATTCCCCTTGCCGCTGGCGGCTCCACCAGGATCGCCGCCCTGCACAGCGGTCTCACCGACAAAGCCCGCGCAGGAATCATGCGCCGCTTCCGCGCCGGTGAGGTATGGATTCTCATCACTACAGACGTCCTCGCCCGTGGCGTTGATTTCGCCGGCGTCAACGGCGTAGTAAACTACGACGTCCCCGGCTCCAGCGCCGCGTACGTCCATCGCGCGGGCCGTACCGGCAGAGCTGGTCGTGAGGGCGGCGTCGCCGTCACCTTCTACACGACAGACGATATCCCCTTTGTCAAGACCGTCGCCAACGTCATTGCCGCGAGCGAGAAGCAGGCTGGCAAGACGGGCGAGGAGGCCAACGTGCAGAAGTGGCTCCTCGATGCTCTGCCGAATGTCAGCCAGGCGGATAAGAAGAAGTTGAGGGAGAAGGGTGTTGAGGCCAGACGAAGCCATGGTGCTGCCATGATCTCGACAGAGAGCAAGTGGGAGAGGAAGAAGGAGCATAATAAGAAGGGTGCCGCTGCGGCGAGCAAGCAGAGGAAGAAGGAGGCGAAGCAATCTAGGAGGGACGATGATAGCGATGGCGGCGAATGGGGTGGCATTGACGACTGAGCTGTCATGGGATAAATCAACACTTACCTACGTATGGCTATAGAAAGCGCTCGTGTGACGACTGGAATAATTGCGGGATTATGTTTCGAGACATCATTACGCGTCAATGGTGTTTTCATCGAATCCCTACTTGAACCTCACGCACGAGAGAATTGATGCTAGAGGCGTATGCTTCAGTGACGACGGTCAGCCCCCTGCTCAACAGTCTAACTGAGGCCCTGAAGATAAGAAGACTAGCCGGCGAGATGTCCATCCCAAGTGTTCCCCGTGTGTGGCTGCATGAGGCACAGATGGGCTGCGATAGGCCGACTGCGAAAGAAGCCTGACACTACTGCAACGCAGTTCAGCTCAGTAATTTGACGACCATTGCGATTGGTGCACCGCGACGGAAATCACTGAGCATCTTCTGACCCCTCTGAGAAGTGTGCCTAGGGGTGCCACACCATGCCACTCAAAGCGGCTGTGCAGATCAGCCATGAGCTTTACGGTCTGCCTGATTGCTCATAAATCCCTCGCTTCCTCTTGTAATCTGGATCGTCGGGAATGGGCAGGCATAGAGCGGACATCGCAGACGACAAGCCATGGCAGATCCTCTCTCCATCGCCGCCAGCGTGGCGGGCCTCGTTACTCTTGCCGCCTCAACCGCGAAACTGGCGAAGGCGTTGTCAAATAGATACAACGAGAAAGCTGCTGCTTCAATACGGGGAAACGTCGAGACTCTTGACTCGGCGCTGATCCGAATCAACAAGAGTCTTCAACACCAAGCATTCCATCATCCTGGAGAGGAAGCTCTGAGGCAGCCTATCGAGTCCTGTGCGCGAACACTGAGAAACATCGAGATGCAGTTCCAGAAACTTGAAATAAAGGGCTACTCGTGGCATAGTATGAGAGGGAGGATTGCTCGTCCAGAGGTGTTGAGGGAAATCTCAACGCTACAGATTATGCTGGAGGGGCAGAAGACAACGCTATTGATCGCAATGCAGTAGGTTTCACCCAACGTTTTCGACAAGGCTTCTTCGAGCCATTGCATTCATTTTATCACATCGCGAGCACAGGTTGATCATGGCGAATAGGAACTGCACCGGAGAGAGTCAGAGCAAGATGCTGCACATGATATTCAACGCCATTGAGGAATTCAGAGCCATCATTCAAAGAGAGAAGCCCATGAACACGCCTCCTCAGGATATTGACAATGGCGTGCTCGCCAATTCAATGAGAGCAGACTTCGGCTACGCAAGCACTCCATCTGTGGTGCATGTGCATCCCTCTTTTGATGACTGGCTCTCAACATGGGCAACACCAGACGACCAAGATGGCCAGCCTACATCCTTAACTGACCAATCACCAAAGGAAGGACATCTAAATTCGGAATCTGGCACTGCATCTAGCCGGCCGCCGCAGAACGTAAAGTTGATAATCGAAGGTCTCCCGCAAGCAGCCCAGAAAGGAAATGCGACAAGTGAGATCACCACACCCGCAAACACACCATTGTATGATATCATGTTCCAACTCGATAAGGAATCCCTACAACCACCTAAACGCGACCGCTCTGACAATCTTCAAGGACCTGACCGAATCTGCGGTTTCGCGATCGTGGATAACGGAACCAAGGTTGCACCATTCATGCCTTGGAGCACCTCATTCGTGGTGGTCACGGAGGGCCCAAGTTGCTACGACGTTCAGTCTGGGCTCAAGATCAACCACAACGAGAGTTTGATCCACTTCTACAATGGCTGTGTACGCAGACGACTGGATATCACGGGAACGAGACAGCCGGTAGTTGAGAAGCTGCAATCTAGCATTGTGGTACGGAATACCTCGGTTTCCGAACGTGCTGCCAGCGTGACGTTCCAAAGAACGTTGCGTCTTCCGGAGCGGTCTTGTCAAACCCCAAGGCAAAACTCGACGAGTCACTATCTAATGTACGAAAAGGCTCAAGGTGTCTCAGAGTTCTTGGGTCCATTTCCTCTTTTCGACACTGAGGCATACAGAGATAGGCTTCCGAAGGAAATGAAACAAAAGGGAGGACTGTTCTTCCCAATCTTTCAACGAGAGGCACTTGCCTTCTCCTTCGAGAACACCAGCAAGGGTGACAGGCGGGCATGGGAAGACGAAGGCGATCAGCAATTTGCCATTAAAGTATACTCCGGCTCCATCAACTGCGTCTCTGGCCAACAGGTCACCGATTCCGTGCCACATGAGCAGGACTACATAATCTGTCCTAGACAGAGGAGGCTAGACGGCTTCAAGTCCGCAGACAACGAAACTCGACAATTTGTGGCGATGCCTCTTGGCTGGGAGTACTCGGCTGAACACCAATTGACTGACAAGGAAGACGTAGGCGGAATCCAGCTACAAATCGCGCCACGTCTTAGAGATTGCGTGGAGTTCCGTGCCTTGGATCACTTATGGAACTTGGGGCGGGCGTTTAGATGCTCCGCCACAGCTTCAGAGTTGGGGCTGGCAACTGGTTCTGTCGTCGCCATGTCCGACTTCGACCCCGACATAAAGCTCCTGAATGAGTTTGAGCACTCATTCACAGACCGCAGCAGGTGGCAGATTCATGGCCGGTCCAACCCTCTGCTGTACCCCATGGATGAGACTGGTCTGCATCGCGTCACTACGGTCCAGGACTTGCTTCAGAGACGTGGTGGTCAAAACCTAGGTCCTACCTCGACCTTTCGCCTCCAGCCCGTCCTTTCGGTGGCTATTGAACTGAAATTCACCATCGGAGATGAAAGGCACCAATCAGGTGAACTCAAGTTCGTCAGGAGTTTCAGTTGCTCACCCTTTCTCGATTTCGGGCTTATTACATCAAAGTGCCTTCATGATCACGGAATCAAATGCGGCCAGTGTGAAAGCTGCGAAACATCCGAGTTTTTCTCGAGTCCCCCAGTATGGCAATTCTCATTGCTGGGAAAGGAACCCTTCATGTACGACTGGCCGCCTAGGTACCATCCCGTGGAAGCAGTGGTTGCCGAATCAGGCGCCTTGCCTGGTGATTTATGTTTTTACTGTACCAGATACAGAGCTGGCGTCCCGTATATTCATCCCCCGCCTTTCATAGACAGTCGCCCTGATCAATTCAGGTTCCAATATGGGCAATCACCCAGTTCAGCTGGCTGGGAGATGTCGCTCGGTGCCGGAGCACGTCTTCTTCAGGAAATACACCGCGGCAAAGAGCTGACTTGGGACTGGAACAACAGTTGTTTGGTGAACATTCAGCTACTGAACGCGGCGGCTTTCAAATCCGTCACGGGTATCCCGGCTTGGACACCCATATCTCTGCTGGATTATCGCAAGAAGGGGCGCATGTTGCGGTTGCCAGTGGTAGCGGAGAGCACATACGATTCTGCGACACAAATTGCTACTACATGTGATTTGAAGTCCATTAGTGCCCTTGACATAACACTTTCGGACGACATTAGATGTAAGCGTCGGGTCATCACTTGTCCTCAGTGCGAGACGAATATGTGCAATGTTGCGTAAGTTCAACCATCTCTCTGGGAATGGCGCAACACTAAGCTCATAGCTCATAGACTTTTGCCGTGCAAACACATCTTCTGTTCAGATTGCGTGGGCAGTGGCTCCAAGTTCTCCTGCTTTCAGTGTGACAAACGACATACGGGCCAGGTCATCTTCTCCGGCGCCATGGATTCTCCATTTGGAAAGTCAGCCAAGATCACCTCTTCCCGCGCTATCTCAAATTACCAGTTACTCAAGCAACTGCGGAGCGTTCCTGGGTACAATAGTCCACAAACACCGTCGCAGGAAAGCCCCCAGACAGTAGCGACAAAGGTTGCACGGCTGAGCTGGGGAGATCAGACTCCTTTCTGGTTCAACTTCATTATTTCCACCTTGAACAAGACGGATAAGCAGTCACGGTCGTCAATGACCAAAATACTGGCAATCGAGAAGGCTCGATCTTCCAACATACATCAACTTGAGGCACTACTTCCGCTTCTTTCGAAGGCTGATTTCTTTAATGAGAAGGATTTTCATCAAACACAGCTACTGGAACTCATCAGCCTGTCGGTGAACAATGTGGATAGCTCCAGGGTACAAAATCACGGCTGCAGTCCGAGAGCGTCTACATGCCTCGAGGCTGTGATCGACTGGATGGAGACCGAGTCTATCAGGCCAGACGAGCTGTTACGCTTCGGCGTTGACTTGAAACCATGGCTTTGTCCCCAGCAGACACCAAGTCTGAAGTGCGTGGCCCGATTCTTGAAACAAGGTGGCAGGTCGTTTCTCAGAGATTATGGGTTCAACCGTGAGGATCTTCAAATGCCGGCCTCCCGGAAAGTCAGAGAGTTACTTCTCGAGGACTTTATATCCAACGGCTTCGACCTGAACGCTCGCGATGCACATGGTCGAACTATCCTGTGGACTGAACGTCAGCTCACGTACATGTTGCTGGACAACGGTGCTCGCGTGAGCATACCGGACAACGACGGCAACACCATACTTCACTGCCTAGTCCTGAAGCAAGATCCTACAAGCCTCCAGAACAACCAAGGGCCATTGGAAACCCTGTTGAACCACAAAAAGGGAAGGGAAGCGGTGAACGTGCGCAACCGGGATTGGCTGACCCCCTGCCAGCTTGTGCTAGGGATTGATGCGATTCATTATTGGGATATCTACACGAGACTTTTCGACAACGCTGAGGCTGATATCAGAATCGTCTTTCCAAAAGGTGTTTATCGAGATAAACTGACGTACAGCCTGGCGAAGTGGCAAGCCGAGGTGGGAAGTGTTAGTGCGTTCAGGAGGCCAGCTGCTGAGGAACGCCTCTTGAGGGCGCGGCTGGCGATGTCATACTCTTGACATCGAACGCTTGGGTACTGGACAGAGGCTCTTCTAACACTATAGAGGCTTGGCCCGCATCAGACGTAACCTTGCTATGGGTCTGACACTGGGGTAATTTGGTTCCTGGTGATAGGAATCACGGTGCTGGAACGAAATCGTTTTCGGAATACCCGAGCGACGCCAGTGACAGTCCCGGGATAAGCATCAATCTGTGAGTTGCAATGAATCTCTAGAGAAGCGTCCAGGAAAGCTTTTACCACGCAAGCCTTCTCGGATGGACCCTGGCATACCTATATAACACTGTATCTGGACTAGTAAAACGATGAATCATTGGATTGTTTGCTCGTTCATATGAGACGAAACTTCATTACCCAGCTTTGTCGTGTTTATACCGAATCCGACGCCGAGAAAGCGATACTTGTCGGTAATTTGCGGTTGTAGTCCTGCAAAGTTGGAGTTCCTTGAGTATTCACCTCGAGTAATCCATGTCACTGACTCCTACTTAATTTTTGAGAAATTTGAAGGCATGCCTGCGTCTGATATACGCAAACTAGCCATAAACTTCCAGCTGGACTTCAAAGAATTTGATTGGCAATCACAGAAAACACCATCAGAGATTAATTTGGTTGGGATGGAGCAGAACCGTCACTTGAATATTGATTTAAAGCTTTCAGCCTGGAGGTGTGAGCACCGGTAAGCTGTCGGTCTTTTCCATGGTTTAAAAAGGACATCTTTCCATGTGAAAAAGAAACATGAAGAATGGTACTGCTGACTTTTGACAATAAGATGAACGGCCTCGAACAGCGAACTCACTGACGCCCACGTTGTGATCACGTCGACTTCACTCAAAATCAACAAGTCCAAAGCGGATCACAATCATTAAATCGCACATAATGCACCAGAATAAGCTTAATACGATGGAGATGACGGCCGGGACATTGTGGTATTTTAGAGTAGCTCGACTTACTGTTCCAAGGTTGGCGTTCGATACACCTACCTGCCGACGCTTGACGGTATCTTCTGTCACTTCACAAGGTACCAATTCAGCCAACAGGTCATTGTCTTGACGACTTACTTTACGAGCCCTGCTCCACGCTTATATAGCACGCGATGCCCCTTAGGAAGTGCCATAGACTTATCCGCATGGCCTAATTTCTCACTTTTCTGATCCACAATGCACCACACCTCCAGCAAATACGAGAATGCTGTTCCTTTCGTTAAGTGTAAAAACCAGCCAACATAAGACAGAGTAATCGTCTTCTTCTCTTCTTCTTAAGACAAAATGACTGCATGGGAAGTGTTGATGGTCCAACCCTCGGTCTGCATTTTCAAAGCTTCTCGTGACTTCCGAGTAAGAAGTATGCAAGATTGCTGGAAGCGAAATCTCGAACATAACAAACACATCAGTCTTATTCTAGTATAAACAGCAGACACCAGACAATAACGACGGCAAAAAGACTCTAGCATAATTCTACCCACGACCGGCAGGTTTCAAACTTGCCATAAGCAGGCTCTTCAGTTCTCAGAAGATTGCAAGTAGGACTGGATATCTTCCATCATTTGTTTCGTCGCGGTGCTGTCTTTCATCAAGAACAACAAGAAGCTATCGTTTTATAGATACTGGAGGAGGTTAACCTGGGACGGCTTTACGTGGTCACGCATCGAGCGTCGAGCCTAAGACACCGTGGCCACGGCACTCGCAATTATTTTGAATCCCTTGTCACGTAAACACTCATCGAATCTTGCCCGGAGACTGTGGTCATGGCATTCTCAAGAGCCTTTCCATTCCAAAAGCCTCATCACGCAATCATGCACGTCTGTCCGACCCTTACCCCGTCTTCTCGAAGCAAACATCTCATCGACAGTGATATATGAATCCTCTGCAGGACACCTAGAGGATACATCGCCCTGCACACGATAACCCTTCAGAGTAATGATTGAGATTTATTGCTGGCTGGTAACATAGATCGGCACCGCGCAGACGCACATAAAACAGGTACCTATGACAAGCGCGAGGAAGCCATGGAGGGTTTGGTTCATCACGAGGAGATGCAAGATGTCTTTGAAGCATCAAAGTCTTACAGAGAACCTTGACGAATCACGACTTTCATCAGTCAGGAAACCATCAAGTCACCGCCACGAAAACCTTTATCATGCCATCTCAAAGTCAACCCCCAAAGAAGATGGACATAACTCCAACAACACACACGACACCTCACAAAGCTGAGATCCTTCGAAAGACTGATATTCCTTCAAAACCAACACACACGTAAACACATCACAAAAGTAACAAGTCCAGCTGAACACCCCTCAAAAAGCTTCGCGTCTACACCAAACCTACCCACCTACCAACCCACCCACCCCCTCGCGCTCTCTCCCAACACACTCATCACCCCAAGATTCCACATGCGCACGAAACTCTGCCGATATAACAAAACCTACCGTTGTCCAAACTCCCTACCGATGCTGCCCTGCCGTAAGATTTAAGCCTCCAACCAAGCCACGGCCCGTCATGTCGTGCGACAGACACGTTCTCAATCCATCCAGAGTCTAGACCTGGGCGCTTAAGGAAATCGTGATCCCGGGGGGGGGGGGGGCTGCCGTTCCCGCCTCCAACGGGAATGAACCGGGCGGGAAGGCACTGACAGCATCAGAAAATGCAAAAGCCGTTGACATGTGGTGACGCCGACAGTCCCCCGCTCCATTATGCAACATCGACATCGAACCCCTCCATCCCTCCCACAGACCCAATCCGCAGGCGGAAACAGGAGAAACAAAAAGACAGATCCAAACTAACGCGATAATCAGGCAGAGCAAGTCAAGCCAAAGCCCAATCGCCCGCGTCAATTCTCTGCTTCACATGTCTAGCTCCGTGAGGCATTTTGCGTAATGCTTTCCGCGTCTCGGAAGTTGACTCCAATGTAATCGGCCCAGCATCGGCGCCGACACGGAGCCAGGTTGCAGTAATGCAGCCACAAAGCCACAGTAAAAGCTGAGCCAGAGAAACCGACGACCCCATCTCAAACACTAACTCAAGTTCGACGCCGATACCTGGGTCTCGACTAAGACAGGCAGTGGTGGTGGTGTGCTGGTCCCCACTTGGGGCCGTGATGTACAAGTCCGAACGCACCCAGTCGATCGGTACATCCACCGGGAGAAAGGGGAGGCAAAAGAAGAAATTATTGCTCTCCTGCCCACGCCAAAGGGCAAGGAAAAAGAAAGCATGTGAAGAATGATCGACAGCGGCTCAAAAGTTGCGTCAGTGCCATTACCCCACGTTCCAGCCCCCATCGCCAATTTCCCCCTTCCCCGCGGGGTTTTGACAAGCGCGACAAGCCACTCGACGCAACCCATCCCAAAGAAGACGGTCTCCATGGCCCATGGCACGAAACTCTGCCAACCTCCATCTCGTGTGGGATGGCACATGCGATTGGAAAATGCAAAGATAAGATCTGCTTGCAAAACCGTGTTCGAGATGGGTTGAGGAAAAGTCTGTGTGTTACTTTCCTTCCACATCCATCCGCTTCGCTTCGTCGCTTGGCCTAGATAAGCGCGGCCGTCACATCAGAGACATGCATGCACTACCTTGCCTTAGCTCGACACGGCGGGCGAAGCAGCGGCGAGGCTTCACCATTCCAGCGGCCTCATATACTGAAGAGGAAACACCGACGTGAAGAGCCGGGCGGACTTAAACCAGGCATCAGTCCCGTCAACCGTCTGTCATGATGTAGCAGCGTCAGCAGCGACGGGTTAGATCGTAGGCATCTCGTAGCCCGATGTACCCCTCCAATCCACCATCTCTTTCGGCCATCTTTAGCCGGCATGTCGTTCGCGAATTTCCTCCTCTTTGTAAGATCATCCCACGATGAGCATATCTGATAATGGGACCGTTCAGCATGTGACGCTAGCACGCGCGACCATGAACCACGAGCCACCAAGTAGCGCCTTGTTTCCATTGGCCCGCTTCCTCGCCACAAGCAGAGAAGAAGAGCCTGATGGAGAAACATTCTTCAACGCTCGTGACATTTCCTACTTGCTTCAAAGAATGCCGTCCGCAAGCAGGTATGAAGACACGGGCACATGCTGCTTGGTTGCCCCCCCCCCCCCCCCCCCCCTTTGCATCTGGCCATCTCAACACGGGCAAGCTTCTCGTCTGAGCAACGCCAAAGTCCGAGTGTGGGCACATTGTCAACCTCTTAGTGGTGTTGCTGCAAGCAATCCTGCAGCATGTACGCTCAGACCTAGCCTTGCTTCTGTGCGAGGTCGCTGCGTACAGCCACGCACCATCTTGCCATCTTTCGCGGAGTAGCGACAAGTAAGACCTCGTCATTATGGGTGAACGACCACCCCAACCTCAATACTCCACCAACTGCTATACCTAGAGTGGTGGTGGTGGTGGGGAGAAAGGTTGGAGGGGTTGTGAGAGGGCGTGCTTCTGAGCCTTCTTCGGACGATAGGCTCACGCCCTCGTGCCCGGGCCGGTTTCTGGCAAAGGCGACCAGGGCGTGCCCACATCCGTGTTTGCAGGGTCTTGACAGTCGGCCAATACTTTCTCTTCGCCAATTCTTCAGCATTTGCCAATTCCGCACTTTTCGGCCAGGTCTCGGTCGGTCCTTAAACGCCAGTGGGGGGGTATTCTGGGGTGTGTTTACTTTGGATGACCCTCGTTCCTTGGTGCGAAATCGAAAGAGACGCTCTCCATGGCCCGTTCGTTTACGTCGTTAACCCCTCATAAAAAACAAGCGGACGACGCCGCAGCCGCGACATAATGGCTTGTCCGGACCACGATGGGGTCCATGGCACTGCCCGCCGGTATCTCGATTCTTCTCAAAGAAAGCGAACCATTGAGTTGCAAGGCCGAGCCTCAACGGGCCTTGATTGCGAGAATGGAACCGAACTCTCGCTGACCTATGTACGCAACCAAAGACGGCCGAGAAACTCGAAGAATTGTGGATATCGATGCGAAAAGGGTGTCACGGCTCGGCTTAGGTCTCCGAACAGCGGCCTTCTGGGCAATG